TATATAAACTAAATGTAAAATTATAAATGTGTATGTGTGCATGATTTAAGTACATAAATCTATTACTTTGATATATTTATTAATAATTATTTTATACATTTATTACAGTGCACACTATAACCTTATTAAAAACATATATTTTACAAGTCCGACCTAATTCCAAATCCAGGACCCGGTGGTGGAGTCGTTAACGATGTAAGTCCACCAGCAGGGTCAGCCGCAAATCTTGAACAATTCTGTGGGCCTGGTGGTGGCCTTTCACCCTTCTTGAAAGCATTTATTATAGTTGTCGCAGTTTCCGGAGTCAAATCCTCCTAAAAAAAGAGAGATAGGAATACAGAAATAGAAGCACAGCATCATTTTCGCTTAAAATTACTGTTCTTTGAATGATAAATATCAAATAAAATTAAATAATAACAAATATACATACATAATAATCATCGTTTACTTGGAACATCGGGGCATTGGCGCAAGCACCAAGACATTCCACTTCGGAGATGGTGAACAACTTATCTGCGGAGGTGCCACCAAGCTCGCAATTCGTAGCCTTCGTCACGGCGTTAACTATCGAGTCAGAGTCTCTCAGCCAGCATGGAGTGCAAGTGCAGATCTGTACGTGATATTTTCCCATGGGCTTGCGATTGAACATCGTGTAGAACGTGGCTACTTCATACACTCTCATACGCGGTACGTCCAATATCTCAGCGACTTTATGCATGGCAGAGATGGGCAGCCAGCCGTGTTGCCGTTGCGCCAGGTCCAACAGAGGTATCATGGCACCGCGCTTATGACCTTCAGGATAGATTGCAAGAAGTGCGTCGATCCGCTTCTTATTTGCCTCATTGAACTCGAATGGTATATTAGGATTGTCTTGCTCACTGTCTCTATGCTAAAATTTAAATATTATATAATATCCTGATTAAAATTGATTGTCATTATTATGTACTAAGATGTTTCTAAATAGGTACAAAAAGTGTTAGATGATTCTTTGTCAAAAATTAAGAGTTTTTCATACACTCTTATCTTTCTTTAATAAGTTACATTCTTTCAAAGAGGGAAGTAAAAACTAGTAAAAAAGTTTTTATTTTTTTAAATATTAATAAATATTCTTTTTACTAGTAGAAAACACTTCGCAAAATTTCATTTTTTTAATTTGCCCAAAATTAAAAAAAAATAATAAAAACTTAATTTTTACCTCTCCCTTTAAAGTGTAATTCCTCAAGGAGGATATAAAAGCATATGTTTACATAAAAATTTTAATTTTCAATAAAGAATTATCTTCTAATATTTTTTGATTTCCTGTATAATTGTATACTTACAACAAACAGCTGATCTGATGTGCGATTTGCTGTTGTTTGCACTCTTCTAATGTTTCTTGGAGCCTGTCGAAGACAGAATTAAATGAGTCAAGTAACAGATCAAATAATAGGTCAAGTGACAGATTATCGAACTTTACTTGATAAAGAAATCATGCTTTTGAACGTGCCAATGTTTTTATCTTTTATGTTTTTGTTTATTCATTTTGGCTCCCTCAAATTTATATAACATTAATATAGAAGTAAAAGGCGGAGAATATAAGGTAAATAAATAAGATTATGTTAATACATAAAATATGCATATTTTATATTAAATAAATCATGATCTTCTAGTACAAAAAAGACAATTAATTTACATTCAAGAACAATGTTTTACAAAGTCGATACAATAAAAAATTGAAGATTATGTAAGGTATTTGAGGTTAGGTGTTAATGGAGAAGTAAACTGCAGTGAGTACAACGATGAATTCTCAGGAAATAACTACTCACGAAGAGCCCGCAAGCTCGACGTAGAGACGCCAGCATGTCAGTGGAGCTGAACGACAGACGAGACGATAAAATTCTTGCTGCACTTCGTCAAACAAATATCAATTGACATCAAACACTATCAAAGTATTGAACCATGTCCAATCACAAGCCCTCCGCACTTCCATCAATTAAGGGGATGCTGGAGCCGTCTGTATTATCGATAAAACTATTCCAAATTCGGTAGTAGTGACACCTTTCATTGATTTCTTATACTCCCTAACAGCACAAATGTCGATATGTTGACTGTAAGTTGACTTTGCTAAGTCAGGTCTTTAAGGCTTAAACGCAATAGCACAGGGAACAGAGAATAACGAGCTGTCCAATCAGAACTCTGGGATGTAATATCGAACTTACTTACTAGATTACTTACTATATTTATGTCTTTAGAGTCGACTGTAAGAATGAAATCACACGATGCGATAAACAACTGCGGAATGGAGAATGCGTCCAAGAAGCAACCAATCAGCGTTCTTCTGCGTTATTCCAAATAGCGCTAATTGGTTGTTTCAATGATGCATTTTCTATTCTGCAGTTTTTTTTCGCACCGTGTGATTTCATCCTAAGAAGGGATGATACTGCAACTATTCTCTCGAAAAGAGTGAGTTTTGCAAAAAATCAAACTATGTGTCGAATGAATAATTAAATTCGGCGCAGGACTGGACTAAACTGAATAATTATCAGGTATAATAAACTTTATTTGTTGATATTTTCTGGAAATTAAATTTTGAAATCAGTAAAGTTTTTTTTTATTCTCATGGATGAGTTAGAAGTTGCTAGAAATGCCACATATGAAATAGGTTAAACAGGATTTAATCTAACTTAATTTAATTGCGAGTCTAAATTAAATTAAATTCGTGCAATTTTGTTTGTAATTAGTGCGTTTAGTAGAAAAAGCAGCTTTGCAATTGTTGTAAATTTTTTAACGTAATTCTTGCCCTTAATTTTTCAAGGATCTAAATATACAAATTGATCATATTAAAGAATCTTATAATTACAAAATATCTTATAATAATTGCTTTTTCTGCAGAATATAGCTGTAATATCAATGTTTGTCTTTGTCTTCCTGTTTTGTTCGCAAAATGTTTACACTGATTTAACTTAAAAAAAAAAAATTATCGCGATTGACTATATCATTGTGTTATCTATCTTCTTATTTGTCTTCTTATCTTAGCTTAGAGTACATACCTATATTATTTTTTTACAGATATTTCTTATATGAGAAAATAGATATAGTATAAAGCTTGTCAAAATGAAATACAGACATTTGCTTGAGCAACATATAACATATTACAATAAACAATTGTATTGTTATCGATGCAAGATCACATTACAAAACCTCAAGGAAGGAAGGCGTCATTATGAAGACGCTCACTCATCTGTCAGTAGTCAAATATCTGATTTCCTAAATAAAGTGAAATTGTCAAAAAAAAATTGTATCAAGTTAATACAACAGGGTATTATAATAAGAGGAATACAGCAAGATTACTTCTGTATATATTGCCAAAGTTCAATATCTTCTTTTCATAATTTTTCTCAACATTTAAAAGAAGAAAATCACTGCAAATATGTAAATTCTAAATCTACATTAAAACATTCTTTAAATGAGCAGCAAAAATCAAATGACAATACAAATAACAAACAAAGTGATGCTTGTGTTAATGTTGATAATTCAATAGAACATAAAAACGAATCAAATGCAATAATACAGTCAATCAGTGAGAATGTGTTAATAAAAGATACTTCAAATAGTTCTATGCAGACAGCAAATGAAACTATTACAAATGTGCCTTATGCATTAATGAAGGAAGAAAAAACGTGTAAATATTTTTTAATGCAACATACAATATGTACAGTACGTACATGCAATGGACGATGGTACTGTAATCTGTGCGAGTTTACATTGCGAAGCTTGATAGCTGTGACTTGTCACTTAGAAGAATTTCATTCAGATAATAGTTCACAAATATCAGATGTTTTTGATAAATCTATCGAATTATCAGACACAAATTGTACAGAATTATTAAATCCTGAAATAGCAATGCAGGATGAAATGCATGATTATTTTTGTATACCTTGCAAATGTTCTTTCCCTTCTGTAAATCATTTTTATGAGCATTCAGTCGGAAAAAAACATAAGTACATGATCCAGTGTAACAAAAAACACGAAGATGCTAATGTTGTGCTGGAAAAACCTGCAGCTAAACTAAATTTAAATAATAATACAATGAACAATCAAATTATATCTGTTGATGTACAAGATAAAAATGATTTAATTAGAAATTTTTCAAGTAATTTCAAAGCAGAAGAGAAAAGTATAAATTTTTGTTGTTTGTGCGATATATTTATTCATGAAACTGCTATAAAAGATCATATGATGTATAAATGCCATAAGTTTGCTGTATCTTTATTTAGAGAAATCCAAATCTCTAATAAGCAAACATTGTGCATTATAAAGTCAGAAGGGGAAAGGAAAACTCTTAGGTCACTACAGTTAAATAATGAAAAATTCGATGGAATTATATGGCCAGAACATGAAGAAACTGTAGCAAAGTATACTTGCGATCAATGCAATGAAATGGTCGAGAAAGATGATATAATAAATCATGAAATAACAATACACAAAAGTGACATGATGTTTTCTATGAAGTTTATCAATAATTGGTCACCTAAGAGTAGAAATTTTAATGTCACTATTTATTATCCATTGTTTAAATGCTCGTTCTGTAATGAGATAATACATGGCATAATGTCATTACAAGCTCATTTTTTGAAATACGAGCACAAAGAAAATATTAAATCATTAATTGACATTAAGAGACGGGACTATGATAGTTGTAAAAATATACAAATTTATTTGGAGCCAATTGAATTTCTATATCTGATCTCTTTTGAAAATAATGGTGGAACTATTCAAATTCAGGAGCAGCCTGTGATGTATATTAAAAACCATTATACAACTCTTCGTAAAAATGCAGGACAAATGCAGAAAACATTTATTTACGTTTGCTTTAACTGTAATTATACAGCGGATAAAATCAACAATGTAATTGATCATTTATTTAACAAGTTAAGACACTTGAAGCATTTTGAAAATATTCTTCTCACATATACGTCTATACAAAATATGTCTACATCAAGAGAACTTATTGCAAATAAAAATAAATATGAAGTAAAATCTCCAATTTCTAAAAATGTATCAATTGATAATAAATCATTGACGGAACGTAACATTGACAAAATACAAGTAAATACAGGACAATACGGCAATCGTAACTTAATAGCTGACATAAATTCCAATAACACAAATAATAGAATAAGTCAAAATGAAGAAAATAATTTTGGTTTTTTTATATCTCTCGATATATTTACGGAAATTAATACATTAATAAACCAAGATTATGAATCAAATCAATTGTCTACAAAGAGCACTGTAAATCATTATAATAAAATGTATTGCAAAGATTTTCTCGACTTCGAAGAAATTATGTTTGTCTGCAACCATAGAAAACTGGAGAAAATTAAATCGAATTTGCAGTTTTTCTTTCCATCGTCTAACAAAATACTTTGTCTTATATGTGAAAATCTACAATTACGCAATGTACAGGCAATATACGAACATATAAATTCTGAAAAACACATTATAAAATTTAACATGTTACATGAGAATGAAGAACATTTGGAATTGTTAAAGCAGCTAGTGAAAATACGACCTGCATATACCAAATGTTTTGCTTGTGATATACATACATTTAAGAATAGAAAAATTAATTACATAGATTTTAAGAATCATATATGTACGTCTTCGCACAAGAACAATTGTAATCAGTTACGTAATCAGATTGAGTTATTATTGAAAGAATTTCAAAATTTATGGTATGATATCCAATACTTTGCTTGCGTTGATTGCAACAAAAAATTCAAAATAAAGATAAAATTCATAGAACATCTTAATAATAACCATAGGGAAGTCATAAGAGACAAAACTAATTCGAAGTTTGATTTTTGCTTAACGTGTGCGACTTTATGGTTCAAAACAAGTGATACCGAAGACATCCATATAAATTATGAACAACACTGTCAGTTACAAATGCATCAGTATCTAAAGAAAAGTAATGACTTCGCAATTACGCCGCTGCCGCAGACTCTGCAAAAATTGTTGAGAAATGTTAACAAAATTTCTGCTAATCTATTTCAATTGTCGAAAAAGGTATTAAATGATCCAAAAGTGACTCGACTTACGGATGCTTTAAAACACATCTTTGAAACATGTCAGCTCTCTGTAGAAGTGTTCATATATGGTTCAAGAGTCACTGGTTTAGCATTAACAAACAGCGACATCGACATATATCTTAACTTCGGTAAATATATTTGTTTCTAATATTTATGAAATTGATTAAATATTTTAAAAAATTTCAAATAATCATAGATGTACAATTTTTTTTTATTATCAGTATTATATGTTAAAATGATTTTTAAAATAAATTTTAACACTTTTTCAAAACAATTAATTTTGTGAATTGCTATATAAAATAAAAGTTTATGAGAAATTTATAAAAAATAAATTTGTAAAAAGAATTGTGATATAAAACTTAAAACAAACATTTTTCTATTAGGTGACGAATGTACCGAGCCTCAATCGATTAAAAGAAGGAGTAAGCAGATTCAAGATTGTTTACATACCGACCATGAGAATTGGGCTATAGAATTAACTTTGGATAGGAGCAGGACTCCTATAATAAAAGTAAAGCACAGATCAACAGGATTGCAGTGCGATATTTCGTTTACGAAAGGTCTGTCAGTGGAAAATTCCAAGCTTATTAGGTATGACACATTATTGTATTTCTAAGAAGTATCAAGAAATATGTTTTATAATAACTAATAATTTTATAATAACTAAAATCTAGATCTTTCAATACCGCATATCCATCATGTCAAAAATTGACACTATTTTTGAAAAAGTGGCTCTCGCTGGCGAATTTGAGTGGTCCTGACGGAATGACAAATTATGCTCTTGTCTGGCTAGTCATCTTTTACTTGCAAGTCAAATTTAAAATTCCAAGTATTGCTGACTTAATCAAAAGCCATAATCAGTCGAAAATCATCTCTGGTAAGTATTTTAGAGATTTCAATTTAATATATTGTATTGTAGCATGTATTGTAGTTTTTATGGAATCTGTAATTGGATAAAATCTTATCTTGTTATAATAATAAATCATGATTTTACACATATTCACACACATTCGTATCTTAGGATTAGCATAATTATAATATAATATTGATATCTTATTATATTCTAGGTTGGGAAACTGGAGTTAGTGATGCTATTCTTATCAATGTACCACAACAATCAATACATGAACTGTTGTTGGGATTTTTCGAATATTACGGAGGTTTCGATTACATGCATCTCGTCGTATGTCCATTATTAGGCGAGACGTATCAAAAGAAAGCGTTTGCTGAAGTATCGATTTTACCTAATTCTATGGCACTTTACATTGCGCAATTGCAAGGCGACAAACCAGAATATTTTCGTATTGATTCACCTATGTGTGTGCAAGATCCATATGATCTCTCACATAATTTAACAAAGGCTGTGTCGATTTTAACGCTTAAACGTTTTAAACACTATTGCAATGAAAGTTTATCAGTATTACGTAGCGTTATTGCTAAATCATAAAAGATATTTTATTAGATAAAATTATCTTTTTTAAGACACATTTTTAAGAGTAATTTTGTATAAATCAATTATTTTTATTTCTTTCGACTATAATGTTTATAGTAAAACATTGCTAATGAAATTAATATTATGTATGTGTGTAATAAGGTTGTATGTGATACCTCACTTATAATATGCGTGATAACTAATATTTTGAAAAGATCGCAAATATTGTTATAAAACAACATTTTTTCAGAAAGCGATTTTAATTATTTATTTCGTAGTTTTAACGTGAAGGGAATCAATTGTATTTACACATGTTACATTGCACATGTACTTTATATTATTTTATTTTTATTTTTTATATGCAATATGCATTTACACACGTATTTCTCTTGCATTGAATATTAATGCAATATTTGATTTTAATATTATTCCAAATGGTTAATTATAGCCTAAAAAGTTTTCATTGATATAATCTTTTTTTTTACATTTTCCCTGTTGAAAATGAAAGGAAAATGTATCACGATTGCTATATTTTATTTTATGACTTATTATAATTTTAATAGTTGTATCATAATATAGGTATTACAAAAAAAAAATCTGCCAGTTTTCATTACATTATTGTTATACTATATAATGTGATTCTTAAAGTAAATGATACTTTCAGAAAACAATTACCTCATCAAAGTTCTATTTTTATAACATATTTTTATGTACAAAATAAAATATATGAACTACGTATGTTATATTTGTACTATATGTATATTGTATTTCATACTTTGTAATATTATAGGTGCGTTCAGAAATACGTTATTAGTGTTATTTGTATCATTCTATCTTTATCATTCATCAGACGTAAAACAAAAATAAAATGACATACATAGATAATTTATATATGTCATTAAAAAGTCGTCTTTACTGAATAAACTATAATATTATAAAATGAGACAAAAAACATTGATTAATAAATATATAAAGAAATATTCTAATTTTTTTAAATAGATGCTACTTTTTTATAACGAAATAAGATGTAAGAGGAAGAGGCGAAAGACTTATAATGTAGTATCAAATAAAGTTTAGTGTCATGTACTTTGATTTATTCTCGATTCACTTTTTTCCTGTACAATGTCTTGCTTCCATATATATTCTTTTATATATTTATTCTTAGGTATGCAAGATTGTTTACATGTGAAAACGGCCAATATTCCCCAATCAAGGCTCTTGATAACATCTTTTAAATCAAGAAAATTTAATAGTTGCGGCATTATCTGCAAATCATATTTTTAATTTAGATAGAAATATGACATTTTGTTAAATAAAATATTTTATTAATTTTAAATGCAAATTTTAATATGCAAAATTTATCTGATTTTATATTATAAAATTTAATATAATACTTTCAAACTTCATTCAAGATTGTGCAGTATATTTCAAAACAAGATTACATGGAGTATTTACGTTTTAAATTTAATCAGATCTTATTTAAGATAGTTTGTTTAATTATAATCTTGAGGTGTTATAAACCAATCATAGAGATGTATTAGCATCTTAAGACAGTCTTAAGATAAGAACAGACTATGAATATTGATTAGTTTACAAAATTTATATTTTATATATATATATATATATATATATATATATACACATACAGAGAGAAAGAGAAAGAAATTATATTTTATAGTAAACGCACAATCCTGACTCCATTTATATATATGAATGAACATACTTGAAATTCAAACTGTCTATTGCCATTGCATTCTGGACATTTTGGTACATCCGTTATCTGACCGTGTGATGAAATATATACAACTTTTCCTCCTCTATTATATCTGTCAAATAAATATCAATTAGGCTGTGATTATAAATTTAATTTTTTAAAGTGATATACCTTAAAATCTGATCTGGATAATTATCTATTTTTAGACGAAACTCTGCAAATGTTTCATCCTTTTCATCGTTAGCCATTTGTAATAAATCATCGTTAACATCTTCATTCTGAAATATTCCAGCTTTGCCATCCTGTATTATTGAATTATATTTTTCAATTTCCTTCTCTTCGCTATTAGGTTCATTCTGATCGACATTTTCCATTGCAGTGCTGTCGTTTTCCATCACGATTTCATATTCAGGAAACAGAAAACTATTGTCATTTTTTGCTTCAGTACCACATACATCTTTATGTCCATTCTTCCAGTCATATACTTGATGAACACGGGAACAATAATTGACCATTTTACATTTACCACAATGGTTAGGCGCTAAAATTCCACATATGCGACATGTTTTTACCCACTGAGATACATCTGCAAAGAGAGATAACAAATTATAACTTGTATATTTGTATTAAAATCATAGTTTTATTAGTTATTATAGAAAAATAGCTTGTATCACAATACTATACCAATATCTGTTCCCCAGTCCTTCCGTTCCACAGGTGGTTCAGCTGGATAAAAATTGTTTATTCTACTTAGCTGTGATCGGAACACCTTTAAGTTCCCATTCTGATTCGGCCTACAACAATCTATATTCTTGCACACAAAGATATAGACAGTTCTGTGAAATGCATTGGAGTCTTCCTCATACGGTGCATAAATTTGACAGAGAAACACGCAGGGATCACCGCAGTATTCGCATTCCAAGTCGCCTTTGCCAGGAATATTTTTCAGATCGAGCCAGGCCGGTTTGCCGCCTGCTTTACTGGGAAAGAATCTGCTCTCGAGTTGCCAGTTCTCGCATTTCTCTACAAATCCCAGATCAACTGCCATACCTAAAATCATCAGAAAAAAAACCACCAAAATTGCACATCAATCATGGATACCAATGTGTCACCAATATCGATTCAGAAATAAATAGTGGAAGTGAAAGAGAAAACGAGCATTCACCCGAAACTCCGAAACGTCAAACTGAACCCACGTGGTTGTCTACTGATGGAAGAAACTAGTAAGGAACTGAATAAAAGTGACGCTCCATTTGACGCTCATAACAGTTGAGTAAACACTTGCTGTTATTGTATTTTTCTAGATCATCCAATCAGATCTTTAAATCTAGAAGAATCCACCAACAGTAGTGAGCGCTCACTCAACTGTTGAGTCCACTGAACGCAGTTATGTAATTTATCTATATCTTCTCATTGGCTGCTAATGGAAATATACACCAATTTTTAAAGCGCTGCTGTTGCGATCTTTTAAAGTCCTTCTAGTAAGAGTCAAGTCATAAGGACACTGATCTCTGATTGATCAGATTTCGAATCCCTTTAAACGTCATTTGTAGATACTTTCGATCATAATGAATCTGTGAATTGATGTGAGCACTGTTTCATGGTGTAGAAGGCGCGAACGCAAAATCGGACTATCTATTGTCAATCATGGTGGAATTGTGCTGTTTCCGACTAGTATCTGACATCCGGCAATGGCATTCTTCCGGTTCTTATCTCTTAACTCGTACACACATTCTACAATAAGCCATTAGTCATAAATTAGAAGTCAGAAGCTAAAAATTGACGACTGTGATCAGTCAATTTTTAGCTTCAGACTTCTGATTTATGATTAACGAATTATTGTTAAAACAAATTAATTATTGTTATAAGAAAACCAACCAATTAAAGTTTTTTTTATTTTATGGAAAGGAAGGAAACAAAGAATTTTGATTGATTCATTTTCTTATGTCTCATGTATTATGCATTATGTAAGAGTCTGTGCTTCCCGCTTTACTAAAGGAACTCTAGATCTTTGGTACTGCCGCGCTATCTACCGTCTATGCCTCTCGGTATTACGTTGTATATATTGTGTATGTGGTGTATGTTGATATCTGTCACTGCTTTTATAAGGTTAGCTTACCTATTCAACCGCGAAAGGCGGATTCAACGGTATTCCTGCGTTTTTCGAGAGCCGCGGCGAGGATGACGTCCTGTTTCGAGAATATGCAGGTGCCGTCCTGCGTCTGGTTCGAGGGCGGCGAGAAGAGAAACGCACTTATTTCGATGCTTGCAGGCACACTGGTAAATCCGTGGATTTCACACCCACATTTTTGCCACAATAAACAAACACATATACCTCTCATAAATACATTTACTGATAAACAACAATTTCTAATATGCTCTCTTGCCTTTCTTTGATCCTTTATTGAGTCTCAGAGTATATTGTTTGATATTGTAGATATTAATTTTGTATGCTTTCAACGATTTGTATTTTTCACATTAATTTTCCTGTAGCTGAAAATCTTATCGAAATGCTGTTTCAGTTTTTCGTAGGATGGTGGTTTATAATAGATGCGCATGCAAAATATCCTGATGAAATGTCAAATGCGTACCATGTTTGTGGAGTATTTGGTACTATATCACTTTTCATGTAAGTAATATTAATATTAGTATTATTAATAGTATATGTAAACTTTGGCCAAAAATATTAAGTATTTTATCATTATTATTTAAAGTTTTAGCTCAAAAATTAATTTATGACATTTGTAGTAAATTGTTCTTAACAATACAGGTAAAAAAGTTTCAGATAAATGAAAAATATAGGTCTCTAATATTTTTGATCAAGGTATATATTGCGATAAAATGTATCAGTAATAGAATTCTTATTGTTGTATTGTATATATAATGCTATTGATTTGAAAAATTTTATATTTTTCTAGGGTCAATTCAGTAACAAATGCACAGATAAGAGGAGAAGCTTATAATGGTGGTTGTTTAGGAGCAAGAGGTGCTCGAAGTTGGCTGTTTATTGGGTTTGTCATGGGATTTGCAGCAGTAATAGCAGCCTGTTGGATCTTGTTTGCCAACTTCGTAGCGGCAGGTAGTCGTAACAGTATAATACATATGTAAATCTATTCTTGTCATTGTATTGGACTGCATTAAAACTTTCACTTTACCAAACTTCAAATATATATAATTCAATATATATATTTAAATACAATGAGTGTACACTAGTTTAACTACAAAGAATAGATCTCATATATTACAAATTTTTTTTCTTTTTTTTTATTTTACTTTATTTGTTACATTTAATATCTTTTTATAGGCGCACCACATCATTGGCCAGGAGTAGGATTGTTCTTGCAGAATATTTTCATTTTCCTGGGCTCGCTCACATATAAATTTGGTCGATCCGAGGATCAATGGGGTTAATAGATGTGCGTGTTGCTGGTGTAAAATATTTTTATTGCCGCATAGTCAAATCGGCACCAAGCGAAGCTCAGTTGGAGAAACTCAACATCAACATTCGAGCGTGAAATTAAATTCGATTACAACAAATTATTCTTATTGTAAACATTTCCTTATACATGTGACAATTTTTATTTATATCAGAACCGTGAAAATAGATAGCAATTACAAGTTACAAATATGCATATATATATATATATAATTTACTGTAAATGTAAGGAAACTAGATTATTAACTTTTGTGTGATAGAATTATACACTACGCTACGCTAATAATTTTAAATCATATCGATAACTTTTCGATCTGTGCATTATCAGATCCCATATTTATACATCTTTTTCATTGTTTCGTTGGTATCTTCTATTTGATACTTTTACAAGAAAGATAATCACAAATGTCTGATATATTGAAGTTAAATAAATGAACTGTGTCCAAGAAAAAATTTTTAAACATTGATTTAGTGAACAAGATTTAACTTCATCAAAATAAGTACTTTCCTTCAATGCAATTAATTCTTTTTGCTTGATATTTCTTTTTTACAAATTAGTTAAATAAATCTTGAAATTTATTCACACATAAATTTGCAGAGCCATACAAAAATGCGTATAAGATGGAGTTTTAATTAAATTTTAATTGTCAAATAATAATTGCAGTATTTTGTTAATATGGATGAATGAATTCGATCACTTGCATTACACTAAATTAGTGTATATTAAAAATTACTATACATGAAATTAATAAAATTAAATGTAAAAACATATATAAATATTTTAAACATTTAAATATCCAATAATAATATTGTTACATTATTTAACAGAATGTTATTAAACATGTAGATATTTCATTGTCGAAGTTGATTATATTATGTAGATATTGTATTATTTCATTGTCAAAGTTGATTATATTATGCTACTGCTTTTAAATATTATATTTATATGAACATTTAGAATTAATAGAAGTCTTTAGTAGTCTTTATTGTATATGATTTGCAGTAATCCAGTACGAGTGATCGAATTCACCATTAGATTAGAAATAAAAAAGTATAAAGAAAATTTTTTTTCTTAGGCAATTCTGCTGGAATTCATGCATATTTCAGCCATTAAGTTAATTAAAATTTAATCAAAATGACACACAGAAAAATTGATTAATCTATTATTATTATCTCTCATTTATATTATCTCTCTCATTAATAATAAATTAAAAGTCAGTTAGAAATTGACCAATCGTCAATTATTTTTCTTACATTCTCGATTGTGATTGGTCAATTTTTAGTTTCTGATTTATTACTGGATGGCCTTAAAGTTAATCTACGATGTTCTCTCTGCTATCTGTTTCTTTTCTATCACTTAAAATAAAATTTAATAAACCCGAAAGAGACAAGAAACATAAGATTATCAATAAAACTGTCATAAAGGAAGAAAAAGGCAAGAAAAAAAAAACAAGAAACAGAAAGCAAAGATAGCTGATATCCCCGGAAAAATTGGTGTCAGCATGGATTGCGCGATACAATTGGCTCCAATTTGCCAACGCGGACCAACGGCGGAGCGGTGTTTGTGTCGCGTTCGGCCAATCGCGACGTGCCACACCAACACATGGTGCTCGGCGGCACGGAATTCCACGGAGAGTGGTCGCGGTGAGGGTGTCACGTTCGGCTTTTTGTTGATTTAAAAGGGACTGCAATGCGCGAATGTGTGTTCTGAATGGTGTACAGCTGAGAGCCGTTTCCCCTGAGTACGTCGTGTATCGTCGCAAGACCTAAGCTCAAGGTGAGCGCGCGTTAATTCGCCCGCTTTCCCGATCGACGTGTCTCACGTCGCCGGTATTTATAACCAAGTTTGACAGCTAGACAGAGCATGACAGTACGTAGGTCTCGTGCCTTGATCCGCATGAGCATGCACATTAACATTCTTGAATTATCATATGGATTTCTTTGTCGCGATCTTACTTCACGTCTGTCTCGATTTCCAGATGGGATTCTCACAGAGAGGCATGTCGATGGCTTCACTAGCCCTATTCATAATCGCCACCTTCGTCGGCATCAGCGAAGAACTTGCCGTCATGAGCATCGACCTTGGTAGTGAATGGATGAAGGTCGCTATCGTCTCGGTACGTGACATCTGTTTGTAACGAATCCAACCGATTGGTTCTTGTATTAGAAAGTCTACGTTCAGCAGCTTTACAACTAACTAAAAGAGTACTACTATCGTACAACTCTTTAATATGACTTGCCCTTAATCTTCCAACCAGGCTGCGTTCGCTTTGCAGCTTACAGCGCTTACAAGCATCAATTGTCCATGTTTAATATTTACTAAACAACAAGGATGAAACAATACTTAAAGTGTTGTGAACGCCAAAGCGAACACAGCCAAATATATAAACCAATTATATCAAAGAATTTTACAACAGTTATAAAGCTTTCTCTGCTGGACACAGCCAAAGTTTTATTAATTAAATGTAACTGTTACATCTTTATATTAAAAAAAAATGAGCATGTTTCTTATGAAATATCTTTTTATTCTTTGATCCACAGCCTGGTGTTCCTATGGAAATAGCTTTAAACAAAGAGTCAAAGAGGAAAACACCGGTCACGATTGCGTTCAGGGATGGAGAGAGATCATTCGGCGAGGATGCTCAAGTAATTGGAGTGAGATTTCCTCAGAACACCTTCTTTTACATTCTAGACCTTCTAGGAAAACCTATAGACAATCCGTTAGTACAACTCTACCGAAAAAGATTTCCTTACTATGACATCATTGCCGATGATGAGAGAAAAACTGTAGCATTTAGATTGAATGAAAACACGACGTACACTCCGGAAGAACTACTCGCACAGATATTGCACAAAGGTAAAGAGATCGCAGAAGCTTCCGCCCATCAGAAGATCAATGAAGCCGTTATCACTGTGCCGGGATTCTTCAATCAGGCTGAAAGGAAGGCACTGATTCAAGCGGCGGAACTCGCCGGTTTGAAAGTGTTACAGCTCATAAACGATTACATGGCAGTAGCTTTAAATTATGGCGTATTCGGTAGAACTGAAATAAATGATTCTGCTCATTACATTATGTTTTATGACATGGGAGCTAGCAGCACTACTGCGACAGTGGTCAGTTACCAAAACATAAAAACGAAAGAGAGGGGTTTCCTCGAGACCAATCCTCATGTTACTGTATTGGGTGTGGGATATGATCGCACGCTTGGAGGATTAGAAATGCAAATCAGATTGCAGCATTATTTAGCACAAGAGTTTGACGCTCTTAAAAAGACGCCGAACTCTGTGTTCAAGAGCCCGAGAGCGATGGCGAAGCTCTTTAAGGAAGCTGGACGCGTCAAAACTGTACTTAGTGCCAACGCAGATCACTTTGCCCAGATAGAAAGTTTAATAGACGATATTGACTTCAAGTTGCAAGTCTCGAGAGAGAAGCTGGAAGAGATATGCGCTGATTTATTTGAACGTGTAGCGAATCCTGTGAAGGTTGCATTGGAAACTTCAGGTGACTATCTTTTAAAATAACACTATCATGTTTCTTGCAAATATGTACTTAAATACTAAATGTATTTACGTGAAATTATTTTAGGTTTAACAATGGATATCATATCACATGTTGTATTGGTGGGGGCAGGTACTCGCATGCCAAAGGTACAAGAGACATTGTCCCAATATGTAAACACAGAATTATCAAAAAATGTAAATACGGATGAAGCAGCTGCTTTAGGAGCTGCGTATAAAGCAGCTGATCTTAGTCAGGGTTTCAAGGTCAAGAAGTTTGTCACGAAAGATGCATTGTTGTTTCCTATTCAAATCACATTTGATAGAACTGTTGATAATAAAATTAGACAGGTAAAAGATTATTATATGATATTTAACTTTTTTTTATATATTTTAATCCTTTGTATATATGTATATTTTTTCTTTTTAAAATTTATTTTTGTATAGGTGAAGAAGACGTTATTTGGCAGAATGAATCCTTTTCCACAAAAAAAGATTATTACATTTAATAAACACACGAATGATTTCGATTTTCATGTAAATTATGCTGAGTTAGATTATTTGCCTGCTAGTGAGGTAATGTAAGTATCTACAGCTATTATTTATTTGTAATAAGAACAAGTTAACACAGGAAATAGATTAATATTATTTTAAATATCAAAATGTTCATACTTCTAAAACTATAGATGAAATTTTTTACAGTTCTATTGGTGATTTACATTTATCTACTATATCGCTGAGTGGTGTAGCCGAAGCTTTAGAAAAGCATGCCAACGAAGGCGCCGAGAGTAAAGGAATCAAAGTGCACTTTAATATAGATGATAGCGGCGTATTGAATTTATTGACTGTAGAATTAGTTTCCGAAAAATCGAGTACTGTTGATGAAGAAGAGGGTACTTTCTCAATACTTGGCTCAACTATTAGTAAATTCTTTGCAGGTTTGTGCCGAAGGCAATGCAAAAAATGATGCCATTTGTTTTTGCATGTTATGAATCACAATTTTGATGAAATATTTGCACTATACTAGTTCTTCTTTATATTCTGTTGATATATATTGAAGAACTGTTTTATTTCTCAAGGAAAGATTTGTGTTATTTTTAAAACTTTATAAAAATTAAAAAGTTATTTCATGTTACGTTTTAAAATCATTTTTTGCAAGCATTTTTATATCAAGGAATAAGTAGATGCTTTTAAAAAAATAGATAGTATTATCACTGAGCAGGGCTTAGATTTTGTTGTCGTTAACAATTAAACTTTTGTAGCAATATAAATTCTAAAAATTTATACATTAATAGAATAATTTATGTTAATAGAATGATTCCTGTTGTATTGACGGTAATATTTTGTATTCATGGAATATTCGTGTCAATTATTTCGTTATATAAAGTGAAATTTTGAAGACCAAGTTAATTGCGCTTAAGTTTGCGCAATTAATTGTCAATGATATAAAACTAGGCCCTGATTATAAATTATGCAGGTATAGAGAGGAACACATTAAATGAAGTCTTAATCTTTCAGGTTCTTCTTTAGAAAAAGAAACTGTGGAAAAGACAGAAGAACCGCCAAAGGAGGATATAAAACCAGTGCATGAAGAGCCAGAATTTTTGGAATCGACAAAAGAGACAGACGAGAAAGAGAAAAAGAAAAGTGAGACAAAAGTGAACGAAGAGAAGACTGCAAATAAAACCGAGAAGGCGGACAAAGAGAAGAAGGCTACGATTGTTCAAATTAAAGAACCTATCAGTTCGAAAGAAGTCAAATTAGGATCACAAATCTTGTCCGGTGAAAAACTCACAGAAACTCGAGACAAGTGAGCATAAATATTATATATTTATTTGTAATGTGAAGTAATTAAATTATTTCCATCTTTAGTATTCTGCTAATTTAAATTTGTTAAATAAAACTGTTATTGTAACTTTAATTTTTTATTGCCATTATCTCTTTTCTCTTAACAAGAAAATATAATCTGCATAATTATGATAAATATAATTTCTACTATTGTATTTTACTAACATTTTATTTATTTTTTTCTTTTAGGATACATCGTTTGGACGTGCACGATTCGGAGAAAGCGCGTCGTGAGACCGCGTTGAACAATCTCGAGTCATACGTAATCGACGCGCAGCAGAAATTCGATTCCAAGGAATTTTCGGACGCGGCTACCGATAAGGAGATCGAGGAAATTCGAAAAGCGTGCGCTGAGATCTCTGAGTGGTTGTACGAGGATGGATTCACCGCGACCGCAGAAGTGTATGAAGAGAAGTTAATGGAACTCCAAAAGTTAACCAACGACGTTTACGAGAGGGTCTCCGAATACCGAGATCGGCCAGAGGTCTTAAACGGAATGGTTTCGCTACTCAAAGGCAGTAGATTGTTCCTAGAGAATATGCGCAATTTGAGTCTAACAAGTGAAGTCATTACGTCTGTTGAAATCGAGACATTAGAAAAAGCAATCAATGAGACACAGGTAATGGTTTATTTTTTAATATCTAAAGCGATTTTTTAAATTGAAACATGCTATTGTTATAAGTCTATAATATTAGTGTAATAAAAAACTGATATTTTAGGATTATTATGATATGATTTCAAAATATTTCGCGGATGCGCCGCTAAATATACCAGTAAAATACAAGATCCGCCAAATTGTGAATAAAATGGATCTACTCGATAGAGAAATTAAATACCTTCTAAACAAGGTAAAGATTTGGAAACCAAAACAAGAAACTACGGCAAATCAAACAACAGATAGTAAGGCCGAGCGTACGATAGAAGAAAATAAAGAATCTACAACCGATTCTGATACTAAGAATGACAAATCTGCGGAAGAACAACCTTCCGACAATATGGAAGAGCAGCAACAAGAACCAATGTCAGAAACAACAGATACCACACAGGATCCGTTACAATTACCAGAAAGCGAGAAACCATTAACTAAAGAGGAAGTTCAGAAAGAAACGCATCATGAACTATAAGAAATAATTTATTTAAAAGTGTGATTCTCTGTTGTTGATCGACGATACTCGTCGATTTAGGCAATTTTTCTGTAGATTATTTTCATCAGGTGCATTTAAGATCGAAGCAGGAATTCTCTTATGCGTTGCCGATGTATAAGTTATTCTGCGAATGTCAATATAAGCTGTTCCATTTAATTAATAATATGTATCTATTTATACAAGGATATGGTTTTCATCGTTCATTTATTACATAATTAGTATTGCAAAATTGTCGATCTTATCAAAGATAATTGTGTTATACAAGTGCCAAGTGATAGCAGCTCGTGACAATTTATTTATTTGATACGCGGACATGCATAAAACTGGCCAGTGTGAGATTTATCTTGAATTTTTACAGAATAAATTTGTGACTTTACATGTAAAATACTTCTACTGCAAGCATATATTTTAATTAGTATACTATCATATGAAGTTGCAGTATAAAGCATATTATTGCGCTTGTTAAAACACGAATGATGAGAACATGCATAAAATAATTTTCTTTCATAAAATAATTCTTGCATATCTTTCAGAAAAAATGAATCTTTTTTTCTTTCAGGGAATGTAGTTATGAATCTTACATTCTCGCAAATGTACATGTATATCAGTAGTTTTCGAATGAATTTGTCACATTTCCTATATATAATGCATTGATTTGTATCATCTTTTTTATAAACGAAGATTCACATAAGTCTATTTTTTCATTATTTACGATATCATATTAAACAGGTATGACGTTTCTAATAATCTATTTCTTGAAAAAGTGAGATAGAATGTATAGAATATTGATTATTTTGTAAATGAATATAACGATTTACACGATGTAAGATAGATAAAAAATAACCTGTTCCTTGAAAATTATATAAGATAAAATTGTTTTTTTGGCTACACAATTTAAATTAATTCTTTGAAAATCACATAATATTCCATTGTCAAATTAAAGGGAATTAAAGAAATTGTCATTCCAATTTATAATTGTAAATTTAAATATTATTTATATTTATTAATTTGAATTAATAAAAAATATATAAAAGAGAGAGAGAAAGAGAAGGGGAGAGGAAAGATATCGGAATAAAGAAACAAATTGTATTGTGTGTGTCACCATTATTTTTTTTATAAATATTTATGACAAAATTATTAAAAAATTTAGTTTTCCACGGATAAAAAAACTAAATATTGCAATCAAAGATCTTCATATTTTCTTCCAGTCTTCTTATTCTTTATCGGTTGAATTTCTATTAATTTAATTTCTCCTGTCTAATTTTTCTTTATCAATTGACTTTTACTAGTGAGGTTATGTACACAGTATCGTCTGCCTTTTTCACTCGCGCTCTTTGAATTTCTCTTTCTAAACATTAAAAATTGCTTTAAAATTGCTTTAAAACGTGCTTTTATTTATGTAAAAAATACGTGGGTGAAGACTTTAAAGGAAAATTAAGAATAGAGAAGTTGCCAGAAATTGTCGGCCCTAATAAATTAAAAAAAAAAACGTGGTTAGACTATACATTAATCCCTGGAGCTGATGGTGAGTTTATTAGTTTATATTGGACTCACTATAAACTCTAATTATAAATCTCTATAAAAAATATCATTTTTTTTACGTTACATTTAAAAATTTGAATTATTCCTATTAAAATATATTTAATATTCTTTCGTTTTTATATGAGAATTATATTATTTTTGTTCGTTGAAATTAATATCTTTTAATTAATATAAATCAAACAGCATCAATAATTGTATTACAGATTTTAGTATCAGTTCCAGAGAATTAATTATATTGTTAAAATATGGCAATGCGTCAAATTTTCCCAAAATTATGGAAAAATATTAGTCCTGTAATGGTGAGAATACAATTCATGCGATATTTTAATTTTTATTTTTAATTACATTAAAAGAAATTCAATTTATTTGTAGTATACATCAGGTATGTTATTTGCACATTGTACCTCATTTGGCAAGCCTAATGAAAATGAGAAGTTGAAGCTGGACTCTCCAGACATAAAAAAGCTAACCCATGAGTATATGATAAAACAATCTACATTGGATGTTGCTAATAGTGCAACCCAGGCATTAACTGTCACATATATGGCTATAATAGATCTGAGCGTCGCATACAGGTAACAAAATAATAATATAAGTCTAGAGGAAAAAAAGATATCTCTGTGATGTTTTTTCATAATTTTATAGAATATTGTTGAACGAACTCATTTCTCTTCTCGAAGAAACTATAATACACAACGTAAATGATGCACACTGGGATCTGATTGTGGAAGTACGAAATGAAATGCAAGACAAGAAAGAAAAGATTACGGTAATAAAGAACTGCTTGAGAAACTACAATTCTTACTTGATGTAAAATTCTGTATATTTAATATCACAGTCCGAGTAAAGCCAAAAAATTCTCTTATACAAGAAAATATAAATAACATTGCATTATAGACACACATTGTACCATACAAATTTTTTAAAATTATACAAGTTAAAATGCAATTTCTTTTTCAATTAGCGCTTGGTTATCTATATGGATTATGTGCATAAAATGGCAGTAGCTAGCGCAGAATTAAGTTATATGTGTGAGATGGATAGTTTGACCAGTACACTTCAACAGAGGATAGAGGATGCGTTAAGTAAGGTAAAAGCAGAAATTGACAACAATATAGAGTTGGAACGAGCATACTGGCGTATACAGGAACAGTGCATCAAAGGTAGCAAAGAGAATATCAAGAAACAATAAATTTTTTAGGAGAAAGAGTCCAACATTCTCTTTCAAAATATGTTTTATTTGTTTTTTAAAAAAATTAAAAATAATTATGTATCTATGTTAATAAACAATTTTCCTCACATTTGCTAATATTTTGTACATCGTTAATATCAATCTTATTTAATTATTTTCTTTTTTCCTTTTTGTTAAACATATACTAGTCTATTGTATTAAAGTTGTATGAGATATTAATTATTTTATTCTTAAATATTTCTCTTATGATCTAGAATTTGTAACATCTTTATTATAAAAATATAATTTGAACAAAGTATGCCTCACTAATCTTTTTAATTTAGTCATGTATTCAAGAATTGTATGACTTTTTCATTACATTCATAATATTTTCAAATTTAATAAAATCAATAAGATAAATATATTCAATATAAGTGGCAGATGTATAATTATATCATTAATAGCAAAATTTATACCTCTCGTTTTTTGCAAATCTATTCGTATCATAAAACTCAAGTTTTTGAAATATCAAGACATACATATGCAAATAACTCACATAATTCAACACACAGTACACATGTCAATATAATAAATAAACGTAGGAAGAGAATATTTACAGACTTGTAAGAGCAGCGCTGCTTCAAACATCTAAATGAATCGAGACAATATGTCGACCGGGCACCATCACCAAGCCTAAGACTCTCGCTTCCGTGTGCTCCGTAGACAAATATTCAGTACACGAGCCCAAAATAACATTGGCATCACGATCCGTACATAAGAACGCTCCTCTCAACACCCTCCCATCGGTCATTTCGATACGTAGATGTCGATTTAACCAGCTCCTTAACTTCTGCTTGGCTGATGACTCCTCAGAGATGACTGTCTGCTAGAATCATAAAGTAAAGATTAAGAATATAACAAATACTTCTAGGAAAACTTTGTTCTTTAGAAACTTTAACTTTATGTAAATATGCTTGTCAGATTACTTGACTTTTATACAAAATACTTGTATTTAAAAAAGGTACATGCATTTATACAAGTGTACTGTTTTAGATACAGTCTTAAGATGTCATAAGTTAATCATAGAGCATATATTAGCATATTAAAACATTACTTTAAAATGATATTAAAATAAAAACCAACTATAAATACTAATGTATGACATTTTTTGTTTATTACATTACAAGTTACATTATTAGTATTTTCAATAAGAGATCTAATATAACATAATGTAACATGATGATTATTTAATCTCTGTTTAACATTGGCAAATAATTAGAATGGAATAATTCACTGTGTAACATCGTTATCCGTTTCTCTTGCAGGAAATCATTCTATGTATGAAAACTCATTTCAGAATCCTATCATATAATTAATACAAAGTCCTTCAAATTATTGTCATTAAAATAAACTTAATATTCATTCTTTTTTATGAGTTATGTTATTTTAGTTCCTTGAAATTAGTTAATTAACGTACTTTTAATCAAATGGTTAATAGGTTTCACAGATACAGTATTAGTAACTATAATGTTACAGATCTGACAGCTCCGGAGAATTAAATGACAGAAGGTGAAGAGAATATATGATATATCAATTGAAGGGTTTCAGTTTACGGAACATAACCTATGTGTATGATAAAAATTGATAAGAATCCGAATTTTGATGAGAAAGACATCATACGGTTTTTTGTAAAGTAATAGAAGATACTGCGAAAAGTCAGAAAGATGAATAAAGGGAGAAAAGCCATCGCTTATTATAAAGTTACCTCTTCATTCCCGTGAACATGCTCGTTGTTCACAACATTGCTCAAATTATGCACTGCCTCCTTCATACTCGCACTCATTGCACTCTCGTTATTTATTCTCATTCACGAATAACAGAATGAATTTCAGACCAACTGTTGTACCGCACTTCGCACTTCGATACCGTGATTTGTGGTGATTTGTGACTAACTCATGACTAAGTACTCATGACTAAGTACGGTTCAAATTTGTTTTTGATTTCTCTACTAAAATGATGGAAGACAGGTGAGACAACTTGAAGAATGCGCAGTAGGGCCAAAATTACGATAATTAGGGTGTCATTAGGGTGAGTCTTTATGGAGAAGAAAAAGATGGAATAGAACAGTATAAACGGGAAGGAAACATCCTTAGACTAATTAAAGAAGAAGAAGGAAAGGAAACACAGCAGCATGAAAAGGCACCTTATTTAGCAATGTGATTGTTTCTTATTTTTTAATTTTAATTTAACACATTCGATTGCTACTTTACTCACTCAGTGAGTACGAATAAAATAATTAACGATTAGTGTACTGAGTACACTTATTGAAGTTTAATTTTCTATCAGATCCCGATCAATAACTTGTCAATAATTGCAGTTCTTTCCTTTGCAAAAAAAAAACTCCGCCGCCACGTCTGTCCTAGCATGACCTCGCTGCGGTAAATTTAGGAACGCACTTGGCACAATCACCTGTATGTACATATCTACGGCAGTGACAGCAGAACCGGTGCATTTCTCAACATTTTGCTACGTGTCATGTACGCAAATCTGATTTGCACCAGGAACTGACGAGCGTGGATATCTCCCCATATTCCTTTCTCACGTCGCCTCGTGCGCCTTCAAAGGTAGTGGCATCTTGGCGATCTTGGCGATTTTAAATTGAGACAGTTCTAGAAAGTTCGCGTGAACAAAAATTCTTGAATCGACGAACACTCTAAAACATATGCGTGACGAATACGATTACACTCTGCGATTGTATCATGTCGATTAAAGCTTGCTAATATTTTTGTCAGAATATAAGAAATATTCAAATCGCTATGACCTTTTAAAAAATTTAATTTACTCTCTTCAACAATTCAGAGCTATTCAGAGATTTACACATATCTTTTCAATATATCATTGGATATGATTTTTCTTTATTTGAAAAAACAGATGAATACTTGTCTCAATACAATTAAGTAGACGAATGAATGCTTGTCTTAATACAGTTGTGTTAATTTGCAGCTGTAAAATATGCGGCAATTAAAAGGGAAAACGAAAGAGACGAATAAACAGAAGAAAGAGCGAAAAAAGGAGTTCCTTGAGAACAAGCAGAGAGTGTTCACGGTTGTGTTGCCTACCATAGCTGCGATATTTGTGATAATAGCGGCATATATCTACGTTAAAACCCGTCCAAAACTCATGGAGTACTAATTATTATGCCATTTGTCATTCATTCACTCAGATGAAATAACTGTGCTGTATCTCGACAATGCATAGACAATTCCATGTTGTATTCTCATAATTCATATGAAAGTTTTTCTAAATGGAGGCACATTCCACTGTTCTCCCCAGAAACATTTCATACCTAAATCATATATTAGAAACAAGATGCCGTTTTTGCAAATGTCTGTATTGTTTAATTTGATAAGAACATATTTTTCAAGTCAAGAATTATCTAATATATTAAGATATATAATTATCAGATATAAAACTTAGGAGTTTTTTACAAAAACATTACTGCATGAGAGAAGTTCGTTAATTATATTGCCTTTCTAATAAACGATTAAATTTGTTTATACATCGAATAGTGTACATAAATTTACCTTAATTTGCGTCTTCCTCGATTCTTCTCTTTTCGTGCTTCTATTTAATGTGTTCTTGAGATATCGTAGAATTACATAAATACAGAATTTTGTTCATGTAATATTCTGACTTTATTTTTTTATTGTATTAAATATCACATGCGAAAAGTCCATATCTGTAAAACAAATTTTATTAATTAATTAAATTAAATTGGAAGATGTTAGCATGTAAAACATTCAAATAATAAATATGGGTCCAATGCGATATAAAAATATATTTGTTATACATAAATAGTGTTACATGTGTTGTCTCTTCTCGCCTTCTTATCAAGTGTTTTCTCGACTTTAAACTTAATATGTATTCCCATCATATATAATTATAACTAGTATCGAGAGAGAATTCCTCTCATAAAGTATAAAAAATGATATCGATTTTATTTTTTTGAGAGTATAACAAAAACAGATCTTTTTTGATCCTTGATTATAAAATTAATCACATTTAAAATATTTTATTTAATTCGAACTAAAAATACAAATTGATGCCACTACTAAGTATAATACAAAAACCTTTCATTATTTAGTCTAAAAATATTATTTAAATAAATCATTTAAAAAAGGTCGAAAAAGATTTATATGTAAATTTTACAAAAACTCATTTTAATGTATGAATTTATGATATAAATATCAATTGTAATATCAAAAATATGGAAGAGGAATTTAGAAAAGATTGTTGAAAGATTCTTGATTTTTTTTGCAATTAACACTCTGCGAGGCTCAAAGGGACTCTTTTACTTAAATTTAAATCGTTAAACAATTTACGTTGTTTCGAACTTGGGTAAACAAAGTAGAAAGACGAGCATCGCGCTAATATCGAAACGCAGCGTCGCGGACACGTGGATGATAACCAATAGGGAGGCAACACGTATTCACGCCTCTATGTATTATCGCCGGTGACGGTTTCTTGCTCGATTCTATTGTTAATTACTGCCGAGAGCACCGATCCATGATGGATTACACGGTGTTTTTATTCTTTTCAAGTTTCGTAATAGTCTTGTTTCACATAAATTACATTCAAGGTATTCTTTGCATTTATTTCATAGAAATATGATTGCTTATAAATGTAGATCAATAGGTTATGTTATTTCCATCACTGAAAGTGTCATTTTGTATCATATCAATATGTATATTTCTTGTTTGATTTTCGTATCATATCAATATGTATATTTCTTGTTTGATTTTATTTGTGTTGATTGATCATATTCGCATTATAATTAACGCCAGGGACATTTTCAATTGCATATAAATGTTTTTATAATATAATTGGCATACCTCAGTATCTTAATACAAGTGGAATATTGTGTATGTAATCTTTGTCTGTATATCTCAATTTGATACATACATTTTATAGCTAAAGGGACTCAACATGTAACATGCGGCTCTGTACTAAAGTTAATGAATGTAGATTATAATGTAAGGTTGCACTCCCACGAAGTAAAGTATGGTAGTGGCAGTGGACAACAATCTGTAACAGGTACTAATGCGAAAGAAGATGGTAATTCCTACTGGCTTGTCAAAGCTGAATCAGGAAAGCAATGTATGCGAGGGTGAGCTGATTTATATTCATGTATTGATTACTGTAATTTTTACCTGTGCACATATTGTGATCTTTTCAATAGGAGGCCAATTAAGTGCGGAGATATTATCAGATTGGAGCACGTTGTGACAAAAAAGAATCTTCACTCGCATCTTGTTAGCTCACCCCTAACTGGAAAACAGGAGGTCTCCGCTTATGGGGATAACAAGGGAGAAGGTGATACTGGCGATAATTGGATGTTAATATGTCACACTGATTTTTGGGAAAGAGATGATACAATTATGTTGAAGCACATTGATACTGAAAAGTAAATATACTCTCCTCTATGGATTTTCGATATAGATAAAAGATAGTATCATTTAGATATTTAATAATATTGTGTGTTTAGGTACTTGGCTGTTAGTGGCAGAACTTATGGTACTCCAATTAGTGGCCAGACTGAGGTAGTAGGTGAATATTCTTCAAGCAGTCCTCATACACAATGGTCTGTGATGGAAGGATTGTTTATTCATCCTAATGATTTCAAAGCACAGCATTATCAACATACAGAATTATAAGACAATTTTTAACAGTAATTTAATTTAATCTGCAAGAATATGTATATATGCGTTGCAAAGAATGCGTGAATAAATTTGGGAAAAGTGCATCATTATCAAAACAAATATCATTAAATGAGGTTTATTTCTTAAGCTCAATATATTTGTTATAAAACTGCGCTTTCAAGATTTTCAGGATTAAGAAAAAATTTACAGAATCAGTTGTTTAAAGTTCGTGAATACAATTATATTGGTTTGAAACTTAATGTAATATCCTTATGCTATTATATTTTGCACTCATACATCATTGTATTTAAAATATTTATATTTATAGTAATCATATGAATAAAATAAGTAATTAAATAAATTAAAATCACATAGTATACCAAATAATTCAGAAAGATAACTGTAATATCACTGTTGAGCATACATGTAAAGCAAATCGAACCAAATATAAAATATATATCCGAAAATGATTATTACCGAAACAAAATAAATAATATAAACAATATTTATATAGAATATCTATTTACACATATTAACTTAGTCTCAATAAACATTAATTTCTGAATTAATCATATAAGAAATACGCGAATTATTTATTACACGATCTGAATTTACGCATTATAAGAATACTTTCACTACTCATGTATGAAAAGTGCAAAAACCATTAAGGAAGAATATCTATCTATAGACTTCATTAATATCCTAGAACATTCGATAATTATAAAATACGCTCATATCTGTGTTCTCTGTCATGTATTAATGCATAAGTATATATTGTACATATGATTGTATTTATTGCTACGTAAGTACATAATAAAGAAATATGTGTGTTAGATTTAATTAGGGTTCATTATTTATTCGACTAGTCTCATACTTCCTTTAGTTCATACTTGCCATTGATATCTCGCGTGCCTACGAGACCGTTATATGGAAAGATAATATTCGATAGACCGTAACTTCCAAAGATCTCCTTCAAATTTTGTCTTCCTGTTACATTAACGTAACGTTGTTTGCCGGTTAAACAACTGTGCAACTTCCATATGCCAAACACCAAACAGATACACAGGATCGACATCAGTGTATCAAATATCGTGACTAAAAGTATACTCGAACTATCTCTAGAACGCAGCAATCTCGCCAAGGCAATAGGAAAACCAAAGTTCAGGAATATATTGAAGTAATCCGCGTCGTTCTTCACTATATGATTAATGTTCTCGTACATGTATGGACCTAGCACGCACAAGGAGTACAAGCATGTTAGCGAGGTGTAGAAACAAAATAGGATAAAGTTGCCCATGTTCTGGCGAAGTATGCAGGCACCCAGGAAGAAGCAATGATGATCCTTGAAATGAAAACACTTCTTACAGAAGACGCAGTGCTGTGTTGGTTTGCACATGTAACTTTGACACTTCTCGCAGTGCCAGAACTTGTAGGTCGTATTATGAGTTGGTAGTTGTGTACTGTTGATCTGTTCGACCTTACGCTGTGTGATCACGCTGCACAAGTTATTCTGTATCTCCTTGACTTTCATTGGATTCGACTTACAGCTGATGCTGTACACCGAATACCAGTTGAGATATACTTGCATGCAGAGGAAGACGAAGACCGGCGAGACTTTTTCATTGATGTAAATCGTAATTGCAATGACAAATACAGTGGATATTAACGTCACTAACGGACATAACTGTTTAACAATTTTCAGGCAAGTTTTTATATACTGAGGCCGAGGCATACCTCATCAATAAATAATATCTTTACATCTATAATGTATAAAATCAATTTTTGCAGATGTATATGTAAAACTAATTTTCAGACACCTATTCGAGCATGAATCTCTTTATTTTATACAATTTCTTCTGGTATTTATATTTCTGAAAAGATAATAAGTTTTTTAAAAAAATATTTTTAATGATATAATTCGTTCTTATTTTGATTTTGTGCTAAGAAGAAATACATATTTTTCTTTAATATAAAGGTACATAATTGTTAAAAATCAACAATGTGTTATTAATTTTCGGTATATAGAATCGTTCACTGACCTTAATCATAACCTCTAATTTATTCCCATACGTTTCATTTAATTTTTATTTAATTTAACAGATCGTAGCTATTTTCGAAATAAACACGATTCTTTATAACGACCAACAGGCAGTTGTCATAACATAATTTCCTTAAATATATTCGTATTTTTCATAGCAATAACAGATCTTTCCACTAGTACATTTCAACGTATTGTACATACATGCGTCTATCATGTACGTATATCATGTGATACGTATGTAATTAAAAATCACATTGTTGATAGACGTTAATAATAGAAGCATATCGGCGGTGCATATTCGTATAAAAGATAATCACATTACCAAGTCTGTTCAAAAGTTATCCCTTATAATTGCATTTTTCTCAATATTTAATTGTAATTTAGGCTTTCTTTTTTATATTTTCCTCTCTAAAGCCACTTGGAAATTCTTCTAAACTTTTTGTCCAAAAAATCTTTCGATATCTCCAAAAAGAAAAACTTTCAAATTTGATAGAAATTTTATTAAATTGGCACACAAAAAACACACTAAAAAAACACTAAACTAATTATGCCAGAAAGATTTCTCACATTTAAGTAATAAGTAATAAGAAAATATCTACATTAATATATTATTTAAATTAAAAAATTAGGTCCTTCGGAAAATATTTCGGAGAAAGCAGAACGGATGATTGATGAGGATTTAATTACAATCATACATATATATAACAGCTATATGCTATTTATTCTCACTATAAAAAAACACGGATATATTTTACACAATATGCTTATATACGTCATAATCCAGCGTTACAAAACGATAACAGATCTATATTGAAAATATATGGTCAATTATAATTAAAAATAAAGTAAAAACATAAGCAATTGTAAATTAATCTTAAGTAATGGTGTTAAAAATTATTCGAAGAATGATATATAATAAGCTTTTTCCTGAATAAATATTTGAATAAAATCAATCAGAGATCTCATTTATATGTATATCGGTATTGTAAATTAATTAAAACGTGTAGATAATAAACAAAATTTATCTTTGAGTTTAGCTCTTTGTCAAATATTAATTTGAAATCTAATACATATTCTCTTTTATCTTTCTCTCTCTTTTCTTCTCTTAATATGTATACATCAATACAGACTTTTATACATATTGTACATATGTATATGTGTAAAATTATAAATATCTATGTTAATTAGTATGCCTATCTTTGTACATTTGTGTAAATAACAACGGTAAATATATCGAATGTATCACTCTTATACAAGACTATTATTAAAGCAGTCTTCAGCAATTATATAAATACATAATAATAATAATACAATTGGAATTTACAAATATATATAATAGAACAAATCTTCTAAAAAAGGAGTGAAAAGAAAGCATAACAAAAAAGAAGAAAAAGAAGAGAGACCAGCAACACAACAATAACATGATCAAAATGACAAAAATTTAGAAAATATCGCTTATGCTACCATATATTGCCATTCTTTGAAGTATTTTCAACCGTGTATACACATATATACTCTACATTAATCTATAGAATTTATCTTCTATGGAGTTAATCATTATCCAGAAATTTGAGTTGTGCATGTCTAAAAACACACATACTGTACATTTTTTGTACACTATTTTGTACTTTTTTTTTTAAATAGGAATAAGAATGTATGTGTGTGCGCCACGAAGCTACTGCTCGTAAATAGACTTCTGTAACGGAACATCTCGCTCTATATAAATCGTGTAAAACTATACAAATATATTATAATATGATTTGCGCAAGATTTACCAAAATATACTGTTGCGATGGTGATAATATAATTCGATATTTTTTTAACAATGGAAAATATAAAAAATATGCTCTTTAGGATCCTCGCTCTTTCTTGTGATTACATTCCACATTATAATCATGTTTATGATGCATACATGTATGCTCGATTACAACGGTATATTACTCTTACATTGTTTTTGCAGAAAAGAAGACTTATTATGTATTTTCTTAGCAAATTTGTGATTCCTGATTCTGTTATTACTCTGTATTTATAATTGCTAGAGACTAGTTTAACAATACTCTTATATAAGAGTAGTATGCTTCACCGTAATTCTCCAATCGGCGCATTTTGAGACCACAATTCGTCTATAAATCTATATAAAGTATCACTAACAGCTACCTGTAACAGACATTAAGAAAAAAAACATATTTATATAATTTATCGTATTTTCGAGATTTTTATGAACAATGCTGCTATCTACTTTAAAAATATCTGAACTAAAAATATTAAACATTTTTAAAAAATTGTCAAATTTATTACTCCAAAACTTTAAGTCGAGAAATCTATACATGATTATATTAATCCTTAGTAACTCTCAAAATATAATACTAAAATTTTACCTTATATGGTGTTGGATTCAAATTTCTTTTATGATCGTTACGCAATGTATTGAGAGATTCTTGCACTCTATTGCGAACCTCTTGTAAAGTAGGTAATGGTTGATACAATTTGCCGTCTTTCCAATATATCTGTAAGATATTTTATTTATTAATTATAAATCATAAATATTAATGTCAATAATATCAATAATAATATATATAAAGCCGCTTATAAAATAACTGATAAATAGTTTATATATAAAAAAGCGAAATGGAATAATCAAATTTACAAAAGAAAAATTTAACTATAAATTGATTAAGAAAATCTAAACTATACAGAATGCATAATTTTAAACATTTATATTATTATCTATAATATATTATGTAATGTAATTTGAAAATTACAGGATTCTTTTTATTTAATTTATTTTTTTATCGGTCTAAATTTCATTTATAATTGAAAACTTATTCAAACGAATGATAATCTTAATTCCCTGTTATAAACAATATAATTATAATAAGTTTAGCTATTGGCGCTATACTATGTACGCGATAAATTTCAATATTATTTGTGCTTCTCGTATTTAATTAATAATTCGTATACATGTTTCGGCTACTTTTTAATCTTCAGTACATACAGATGACGTTAGGGTCTTTCCGAAAATCTTTGCTGAGATTCATATATCCTAAAGATGCTTTAATTTTCTTAACTACATAAATAATATTTTGACACATGACACTCAGCAAAGATTTTCGAAAAGGTCCTAACGTTTCAGTTTTTAAATTTGATAAGACAGCAGTTCACTTTGGTGCTGAAATACGAACAAAAATTTTATTGCGAAGTTATTTTAATTATTAATTGACTAAATTGTTATATCAACAGTGTTTTGATGGAGATGAGTTTAATATTATTATTGATAACAGCTATATTTATAATTTATGAATAAATTTTGTGAATCACTTGAAAGCGCTTAATCACTGTTGCACCATCCAGCTAAGTCAATTGATTGCTAGTCGATTGATTGTCTTTTCTCCAATAAATAGTTGATTGATCACCTTACATGAAAACATTGCGGATATTAATAATGGCAAAAACATGTGAGTATTGTCGTTTTATATCTTGTTGCTTATTATGGATTCATTTGTATGTATTGAAGATGGCTAAAAAGTTAGCCAAAACATGTATACGAATTATTAATTAAATACGAGAGATACAATTTAATAATATTGAAATTTATTGCGCACATAGCGTTAATTCCTAATAGTCAAATTTGTTATAATTATATTGAAAACTTATTTTAATTAGATGATATACCTTGTGCAGAGATTCCACTCGGGATGGTGTAACATTAGCCCTTTTTGTTTGCTGAAACGGATGCCTACAGAGAACCTTCTGCATTACTTGCGGTGGATCTTCCGTTGTTATCTGCAAAAGATCTATCAATGCGTAGCCATCCGACCCGTACAGTCTATAAGCATCTTTTCTGCCAGGTATTGTGACCTTTCCAACTTCTTGACTCAGCTTGATTCTCGGCTCATTATTAATTTCTACCATTTTGTAAACACATCCCAGAGCCGGTTGTCTTTGGCATGTTACGAGATGCGTTCCAATCCCAAAACAATCAATTTTATGGCTCTGGAAAATATTAATTTTTTTTTAATTATATATTTTTTACATTCGCGATTTGTAAATTTTTACCTGCTCGTTCAAACTTATTATAGTCTCCTCATTGATATCGTTGGATGCGCAAATCATTAATTTTGCAAACCATGATATGTCGTACTTGATGGCAATTTTCTCGAAAATATCTCTTGCCACATTACTAAGATACGCTAAATCACCACTGTCAATCCTGATACCGACAGCTCTGTATCCCAAGTCGTTCAAAGCTAACGCTACCGCGCAGAAGTTTAACAGACCGCTCCTATTCGTAAAATATATATCTATGAGATATTTAAGTAACTAACACATTCTACTCTAGTTTATCTATCAATTACAACTAAATGACTTAATTGAAAAGCAATCTAGTCACACACTTTTTATGCTATTATAATTTGGTAAAAATTGTATAAAATAAAGCCTAAACTTGGCAATGTATTTTGTGTGAAAATAAATTCTTTTTTGTATTTCCGTTTCAATTTAAATTAAAAAATGAATTTCTGTCACATTACTTCTATACTTTTTGCAACATCAAATTTACTTCTTTAGTTTGCCAAGTTTAGAATTAAGAAACATTGCGCACAAAAGATTAAGCACACAATAAAACAACTACAACTACATAAACTTGCGCATTCGCTGTTAATTAATATAGAGTAACAAGAGAGTAACAAGTATTTCAATCAATTATTAATGTATTGTCATTAATTTACGTTTCCAATAAAAAAACGTATATGATATTCTAACAAATATACAAATATATAGCCAATTGGTATATCGATGATATAAACATATCACGATAAACGTAACATTTTATTTACTAATATATTTTTTCACTTTTTTTTACAATATATTTCCTTTTGTATTACACAAATATTTTATATATTTTGTTATTTAAACATGCAATTTCGTCGCAAATTTTTGTCACAAGTTTAATATATAAGACTGCTATACTATTAAAATATTTGTGTAATATATAAAATGTGCCCATGTCAATTTCCGAAAAAATTAAGGGGCAGAATTGGGAGGGGCACTATATAAGATCACAAATATATAATGGTTAACAACTAAATTCTAATGAAAAATAAGATTTTGATTATTTTATCTCTAATTGGCACGTCATAGGAGTAGCATGATATGATAATTTGCAATTTGCCCATTTTGCAGAATATTTGCAACTTTTTCTAAGTGAAAGGTAGAGGAGTGAATTAAATTAATATATTATCAGCTACTAAAATTCAAAGAAGCTTCAAATTGCTGAGTTTTAGAAATATATCAAAATAATTTTCTATGTATCTCATTAAATGATCTCAACCATTATAATATTACTTATAAAGGCTTTGGTGGCGCAAAAAAATTAAAATATGATTCGCAAAGCATAGATTTGACGAGAAAAAGGGGGAAGAAAAAGAATCGCATTCCGCAAAACAGGCAAACAGAACGATATCGTACCTCATATAGAGCTCACCCAATTCGCCTCGTCTTAAAAAGCCATTCTTGTGAAGTTGCGAAGTTGGTTCTGATTTAAATGGGTTGTTTCTCACACCGTTTTGGGCGTGTGTATTGGACCCATTAGTTAGAAGTTTATTCTTTACATTTAGGCTGGCCACTTGTGCCTGCCCCTTGGCCAATGTCTCAATGCTACAAACACACTCCTGTTAGGTCACAGTGTGTATACGCATGTCATTGTGCCTGTTCGCGACGCGCTGATAAAACTAAATTATGGAATCGCTAATGACATCGAATTAAGAATATACTTCTGTCTCATTGAAATATGGATTTAATTACGCTAATTATTTTCTATTTCTGTTGGTAGAAGATGAATATATACGAGATAAAAAAAGAAACTTTATAGTAAAAATTAACATTTGATTTTGAAATTATAATTGTGATGATATATTTAAAAAATTATATACAGTATATACTACATCTATGCAATTAGAAGATTTTAATTATGTATGTATATCACAAATATCCTCTATTATATACATAAAAAGATATAAGCTAATACATGCATTGACAGCAATTAACAGCATTGCCGTGCGCAGTATACGTAATGTCTCAAAATAGTGCCTATATTTTAAATCATTTTTAAATAATAAATATTTTAAAAATTTATTTCTAAAATATCTTCACTTTTTGTTAATTTAAATATTACATGTATAACGTAAATATCTATATACTATATAAAATTATTAAAATATACACATACGTATATATAAAATAATCAAAAGCATAATAAAACTATTCGTAAAATATAAGACATATAGTATACTAGTAACATAAAAGAAATAAATATAAACAACACAGTTTATGCAAGTCCATGCATTGATGTAAAATTGAATGTGCAACAAAAGAAAATTAAAATAATCCAAAGCTTCCAAAACGCCAATTAAAAAAATAAATATTGAGCTTTCTATTTAAAAGCATTAAATAAACATGCGACATAATTACGTACCTCTTAACATCGTACGTGTCCACAAGAGCAGTGAATCTTTCCGGGAAAGCGACGGCATAACTAATCAAAGCCGCTAATTCTCCATCAGACGCCTGCGAAGCTAAAGCTCCCAAATCGTCGGCAATAGCCTCGCGATGCTTACAAGCGAGTTCTAATACATCTAAAATGTCACCCGTTTGCTTATGCGCCAATGTCTATGAGAGAAACAGATCAATCTTTTTTTCTTCCTTCCAATTATATTATGCAGAGTTTCAATTTAACATTTATTAGAGTTAATTTAATTAACTTAAAGAAAATTCGTGTCGAATGTACCTACTTTCCCTTGCAGATCGCTGATGCTGGTGAAAGACGTGATATATGCATGTGCATGTGTGCCACATACAGGTATATTGAACAGCTTTCCAGCCAAGACATTACTAGTCCCATCAAATCCACCTGTAATACAATAATTACTTCTAACTTAATTTAAATTGTTTCTAATTTTTAATTTGCTTATGTCTCATATATCAAAATATATGCGTATTTTTAAAAATATATTAATGTTTTATAAACATTTGTTAAACAATACAAATATTTCTGATTGTCTTTAATCCATATTTAAATAAAATTGTCAATGATTCCTCTGTTTGAAGATATTTTAGTTGATCTGCACTCTACATATGTTCAAAAATAATAGCTAATTAGTTTCAGCAGTTTCATATAAGACACATATGCATGTATGTATTGCGCGCGTGCTTGTGTGTGTGTATCCAGTTGAAACTATATATTCTCTATCTGACCTCCTAAATTGTTACTCATCACTTAGACAGTACCAACCGGCACTGAGTGGAACAATGTATTGATTTCACTTTTCATGAAATTGTTAAGCATAGTATAAGAGTGATGGAGTGGTACCAGACACTTCCATTTTCATTATATATTATATTACAGACTGACATAGGTATATTTAAGATTTTTATATTTCAAACTTTATATATGATTAATAAATAACAATATAAAAGTTATTCAAGATATATTATGTGTAGAAAGATTTTATACATTTTATTAGCAAGTATCAAACGTACACGTTATGTGCAACAAAAACTTTTACATTGTATACTTTTACGCTCATATGCGCTTTCGTAATGTAGGCCATTGCGACACAGTAATAGCTCAGCGCTAAAGAGACGCAAAGCGTTTTAGCGCGAGACACTGTCGGATATCTTTACGCGGAACAATGAGAGTTTTTGTACAATTATCATGCAGAGTAATTAGTATAATGAACGTATGCAATACAAAAAAAATATCAACTGATATCATTGGCAATTAACACAAACTTACTATACAATGGAATATTTTGGATTCAATGCTAATTCTTAAACTCATTTTATGTAATAGAGTTATAGTAACTATTTTGTTTCAAACTCGAAAAATGCGGTCTGTAACTTCTCATTAAATTCATAATATAATTGTAGACTTTATTACACTAATTAAATAAGGTAAGTATAAGTAAAGTATTTACCAACATAGCTGTATTTAGATGCACTCAATCCTCCATCAGGTCCTTGCGCTCTTCGAAGACCAAATTCAAGCAGCGTTATGTTTTTCCCAGCTACCATGCGATATCGTGCCGCGTTGGTCGCCATTAGACTTGCATAGTTGACCAATGTTAACAGAGTTGTTTCTAAGAGCTGTACCATTATTAATGGTCCTTCCACTCTTATCAAAGGAACTCTGCAATTAAAATCAACAATTATATCTAAGCAATTTACACTTATTCAAATAATAAATTAAAATTACAATAGACATTAATTAAATTGTTAAATAAAATTGTTTTTTAAATTCATTTATAAATACATTAAAAACTTTTATTCGTATTTCTGTTGCAATGATATATGTTTCTAAAATACTAAAATTAGTATATCTCTAAATACTGACTTTTCAGAAGAAAGAATGAGAAAGATATTTCCTAAACTCACCTTGGAAATACGACCGATCCCTCATCTATGGCGTATATTGTAACATTTCTTGCAGTGAGACTTTGTAGATAATCAAAGAATCTTTGGTCTACTGTAGCAGGCATAGTCGACTTCAGGTACTTGATATCTGTGATATCAAAAATAAGATATCGTATAATATAATTCATAAAGTATATATGCGAATAATAAGTAGCTTCAGTAAATACATACCACTAGGAGAATAATGAAATTTATTCAAGAATTTTATGCACTCCTCAAGCCCGGCAAAAATCGTGAATTCTCCCTGAAAAGGATTCTTACGGAAGAATAAATCAAATACAGCGTGATCATTCATTTTGCCTTCCAATAGGCGTAAGCCATAGTGATTTGATATAAATCTGAAAACAAGCATTGTCCTTCAGTAAATAAGAAATAAAACTTGGAATACATTCAAAAATTCAGTCTCAACAATATTATGGAGAATTGATAGTATATAATTTATAGTATATTATCAGAAAAAAGGAAAAAAAGGGAAAGTTACATAAGAAACAAACGCATTTACTAAATTTATGCCAAATTATACCTTCAATATTCTATAATTAAATATCAACCGTTAATACCGTGCTTTTTGCCGACGGGAAAATTACCATGTTTCCATATTGTCTTTTTATCTGCAAGACAGCATTTTGCAGTGCATACCGAAGGTAACGCGCGTGTCTTTTTGCATGTGAAAGTGGCTTTGTGGAAAAAAAATATTCTAAGCAGGTTCACATTACAAATGTAAATGTCGCGAGATATGCCAACAAGAGATATTTGTGTGTGACTTACATCACCATCAGAATATTTACAAATATAATCACGTTTTTTAAAACTTGTATTCACGTGGTTGTACGAGTGACACGAGTGACCCTTTCCGTTCAGAGAAGTCCGCCGTCGTAATCGTGTACAATTTATCGCATAACAATTCTATATATACTTTGCTCCCGTATGATCTTCTCGTCCCTCGCTATCTCATCGTCGTGGCGTCGAGAAAATTGTCAATCATTCAAGTAGAAAAGAAAAAAAGTATAAATCCTTCGCGTTGGAAAAAACGTGACTCCACCGCTCTCGTTCGAGAAATACGTTTTCGTTTCCGTTTTCTATATAAACGATGTTCAGGACGCATTTCCTGGAAAGCGAGCATCGCTCTCTGCGACAAATTGAGTCTCTCACTCGTGCAGACGATTCGTTCCCGAGGACCATCGAGGACGAGGACAGAACTGAGGTTAGTTCGACGCGCGGATGGCCGAAGTGGAAACCGAATCCGTGAGGCGCGCCCCTTTCCTCCCTCGTTACGTACCTGTGAGCAGCGGCTGAACGATGCCATTCTGCCGCGAGTTGCAGCATGTCCCATCGTCGTCGTCCGACATTTCGAAAATAGGAGGCCCGCTCGCGTGCATCCGATCCGTAAGATATGACTCGCTCTCCCGATCTCGCTCCGTCGTCGGCGCTGCCCCCGCAGATCCGCTCACGCTTGCAGTTGCACTCACTTTTTGCACTTTCTGCATCTCGGAAATGAAATGGATATATTGCGCACACATACAACCCGCACGCGAGGTTCGTTAGATGTATATCCTATGTTAGATATTAAACTTGTCGCGTAAATAACCTTTGTGGACTCATTCCCGTCTGTAAAAAAAAAAAACAGTACAATTGTAGCGAAATATTAATATGATTAATACGAATTAATTAAATTAATTCACTGAAAATTAATGGAGTCCCTTTCGAACCCCCTCCCCTCCTTCTCCTCCTCCTCGTGTTGTCCCGCGATGAAACAAAAGAAATGCTGGGTCAGTATATATTCGGCGGGAAGAGCAAAAAGAAAAGAGTGATTAACGAGGACGCGCAACGATTGCAAGAGATGAGCCTTACTTTTTGCACAGGTTCCTCGCGCTATCCGATCCGACGGTGATCCACGATCCGCACTAGCACTGACGATGATACCGACGTGATAGCGTCGACTAGCATGCCTCCGCGCGAGTCGCGATGTAATATACGGCTCGCGAGAATCGATAGGGAACGTTTGAAGGACGCGCGGCGGCGTTGGCACGGCCTGTTACACCCGCCGATCTCGTTAATTGTCAGAGCCGTTTATCCGAAATTCAACCGGGTAATCCGAGCATCGCGGATCCGGATTCCGAGATCCGAATGCGTGCGCATCCCCCTGCTCTGGTTTTTCAGCGCGAAAGGGAAGATTGCACAACTTATCGTATCTTATACGCTTATTTCATCAATATTAATTCAGACAGCACACAATATTCAGAAAATATTTATAAAATATTTATAAATGTTTATAAGAAATATTTTGTAAATATCTTCGTGGTCTTAAATTGCACAGATTATAAATATTTATTGTAAATATATGAAATATTTATTGTTGTAAATGCTATAAAAGTACTTGATAAGACATTAGAATATTTATATAATTTTTCAAAAAATTAATAGTAATAATTATTGTCATAAGTATCCTGATGTGCTTTCTGGGAAGAAGATTATGAATTCTTTAGCGATATTATTGTCAATTAATTGTTGTTAATGAATCTTTTCTTTTTTATAAATGATGTAATCTCTCCCTCTCCAGCAACATCAAAATAAAATCAAAATGACCTTAAAGTAACTAACAAAAGTGATCATATTTCAATCAATAACGATTTCAACGTTATATTGACATTATCGTGATTTGTTATTCTGCTTGAGTTATTAATTAAAAATGTAACGATTTGATTACTAAATAACTTTTTTTATTCTAGTCGATATTCATAATCGATTCTTTGTTTAATTTCAAGTACAGTCTTAAGATAACATAAACCAATCACAGAACCGTATTAGCATTCATCTTCTGATGAAAATAAAAAAAAAATTAAGAGTGTAAGATCAATGTAATGAGTGAAGCAACTTTATTCACTTAAAGCAGCTTCTAGTAATGTCATATAATTTGTCAGCGAATTCTCTCGATGCTGCTTTCATTCGCTTGAAGCAAGTTTCTTAATTTGTCAACAAATTCGCTGAAAGCTTCTTCTATATGCTTGTTTTTTATTCGCTAATATTTAAAATTTTGAAGTCGCAGCGTCGAGTGGTCACTTGACGACTTAAAAAAAGTTCGCTTTGGAAAAGCAAAAATCAACGCAAGAAATTAACAACAAGCTAGTGACAAGCTAACGATAAGCGTCGAAAGCAGTATTTCCTACAACTAGACGCTAACAAGAAGAAACCAGCGTTTAGAAAAAGTTTTTAGTAGCGAATTCGCTATGACATCACTAGACGCTGCTTCAAGCGAATAAAGTTGCCCCGTGTAAATCATCATAATAGAGACGAGTAACAGAAGCATAAACGGAGTTTCCAGGAGGTAAAATTGAGACAATTAAATATAAAAAGAGTATATAAATACCTCGTTTACATTTTATTTTCTCAATTTTTATGTCCTAAAAATTTCGTTTAATCTTGATCTGTTTATTTTAGAAAACTTTGAACAAACAATTTTAAATGTTACAGGTATAATAACAAAATGGTAAAATAAATACCACTGTCATAAACTTAAAAATATCCTCTCTAGCTATTGCTTTTACAATAATCTTGTTGCTATTTCGTTCTTATTTCAAAATTGTCTTAAATAATATGTACAGTGAATGCAGAAAGTCTTCGTATAGGAGAGATTTTTATTTAAAAAAACCTTATTTGTAGAAAATGAACATTAATTTGTAATTTATTGACAACGAATACAATAAATGGAACTTTTTTTAAATTATTATAAACAAAAAAATATAATAATCTAAATATAGTGTCTTAATAACATTTAAAAAGTAAAAAATTATATTATTTTATTGTACAAAAAATATTCGTACACTTGTTTTTAATTTACATAATATATTAATTTAATATTTTGTGGGATAGCCGTTAAACCCTAATCACAATCCGCAGTCTTCGGTACATCGATTGCACTAGATTTCGCGTGGTGATTCCCATTCTTCTCGAAGAGCGATTTTTAAATCTTCTCAATTGGAAATCCGCCTTTTCCTAATAGCATCTCCAAGAATGCTCTACAAATGTTCAATAAGATTAAAGTCCAATAATTGCGGAGATGTATGCAATTATTTTGATACATTATACAACAGCCATTGCTTCGTATTGTAAGCTGTATGCTTAGGATCATTATCATGTTGAAAAATATTATCGACAATTTCTAATTTTTGTGTACTGACAGAAAGATTCTCTTTCAAAATTTCGATGTACATTTTATGATCCATTATGCCATCAATAATATGTAAATTGCTGACACCTGCTGCGTTCATACACCTCCAAACATAAGCACAGAACTACCACCGTTTAACTGTGAGAATGAGATTTTTTGGAACGAATTCCATTTTTTTTTTTCGTTACACCACACGTCTCCTATCAGAATTGAAAACATTAAATTTATTTTCGTTTGAAAAAAATCACTGTATTCCAATGTTGTTTAGATTTATTAAGATACTGTTTCGCAAATTCTAATCATTTAATACGATTGATCGCATTTACCCAAAACTTTTTCCTAGCACATTTCGAATTGTAATAGTAGAAACGTGTACATCGAGATTTTCAAGTACGGCTGTAATCTTTGGGACACTTTGAGTCTATCTTTATTTGACGGATTGTAAAACGTTTGTCTGTCTCACTTAAGACCTGTGATCGGCCACTTCTCGACTTATTTTTCACCGTCTTTCTTTCACAAAAGCGATCAATTATTGATTCAATTGTTGACCGAAGTCTGTTGATAAGCTGAGCAATTTCACGAAGAGATTTACATTGATTGTGTAATTCAATTATAACTTTTCGCTCTTCTTCACTTGTCTTCCTGCTTTTGCGATCCATTTTGCTTGAATGACGCAGTAAGACTGATATTATTTATTTTTCAAAGGTAGCGCGCATAATTCGCAAACGTAGCGTTCAATCCTAATATAAACAAAAGAGTTTCGGCGAAAATAATCTTGTTTATCTTAGAAATTAAATTTCTCGATTGTACGAATACTTTTTGTGTATTTAAATAATATAATTTTTCATTTTCGCTTATTATTAAGATAATTCGGTTCTATTGTTTTATGTCACCAAGATTATAATACTTAAAAATTGAAATAGTCGATTTTATGGAGATTTCAAGCTCTGATTGACTTGTCAAATAATATAAATCGATAACTTGTCAAGTAATATTTGACACTTTTTTAACGTGGATAGGAATTAATTTTTTATTTAACACATAAAAAAGAAGATTAGAGACAACGAACTATATAATTAAATATTTAATTGAAAGCAATTCTAGTTATTTAGATTAACTTAAATGACAATTATTATTTTTGTAAGTGCGGATAGAATTTTATTATTTTCTTGTTGCTTGATAAGGAGAAAGATTTAATTATTTTAGTCAAAATTTGGTTGAAGTAATTGATGTTTAATGTTTATATTTGGAGAAGAAAGAAATATAACATAGGAATATTACATTTGTAGCAACATTGGTTATCTCTCTCCCCCATAGATAAATTTGAGATTAAATACTTGAAACTCGATAATAACTGAAGAAACATTCTTCTAACTAGACAAACAACAGATAAAAGAAGAAGAAAAAGACGAGAAAAGAAACTTTAACGAAAAATTTATGATGTAAAAATCAAACTGGGAGTTTAAAAGATTTCCGAAACTAAAAATTTAATGATACAAAGTATGAGACAAGTCTCCTGCACACTGAACCTCTTTTTTAATACTTATACTCGCAACAAAAAATAATACCGAAGAATTATTTTTGGACATTAACTATAAAAGAAACAAACATCGAAACGAACAAAGAAAAGTAGAAAAAATGAAAAAAATGGAAATGAAAAATTTATTTTCTAACAAAGGATCTTTCGATTTAGGTGTGATTTTTATTCGAAGAGGAAAAAATGCTAATTCTTTTAAAAGATTTGTCAATATGATTTTGTTGCGGGAAAAAATTTCTTTGTCAACGCGATATTTTTCTACTAATACTTGACACTTTTTTAACATGGATAGAAATTAATTTTTTATTTAATATGTGAAAAAGAAGATTAGATAATAATCTTGACATTTTATTTTTAAGAAAGAAAAAGCCGCAACAACCTACCTATCTATCTTACAGGTAATCTGACTTTGAATACTCAGAATATTTGAAAATATTTTAAAAGATAGTTTAGAGTATTAAAAATGAAAATTAAAAATCGATTTTTAGATGCCGAAAGAGAATACCCCCTTAAATCAATTGTCAATCGATTTTTAATTGAATTCGATCCGATCAATTATCACTTAAACGACTTCCAATTAATATGGATCATCAATCAAGCGATTTTCGATTAATTTGGCTTAAATCAATCGCTAATCGAATTATTTTCAATTAAATTTACTCACATCGATTGTCAATTAAATGATTTTCGATTAACTTCGCTTGAGTCAATCGTCATTCCAAAAATAAAGTTTCTATTATTTGCTTAAATTAATCGTAAATTGAATTATATTTAATTGAATTTTTTCATATCAATTATCAATTAAATATATAACTTAATTTAAATGTAATTATTTAAGTATAACTCTGTATATTTATATACAAACACACACACACACACACAGAAAAATGCATAATGTACGCAAGTAATAATTACTTAATTTGTTTCAAGTATTAAAAAAGCTCATATATCCGCAAAACCTATTGCAAATTCATTATAAGCGTTAAATTTATTCAAACTATCTTTTGAATCCTAGTAAGCTTAATTAAATTCAAAATTATTAAATTAAAACAAATTCAATTTGCTTATTTTATATAAAAAATTATTTCTTTAATCAATTTATAATATTCTTCAAATAAAAATAAATTCTTGTCTTTAATACATAATAATGAGCTTTCTACAATTTGTAATAAGTATATTTTAAGATTATTATCACGAAAATATTTTTTATATTTAATCTTTAATCTTTTAAAAATACATACAAAAAAGAAGGCAAATTGAGTAATCATTTTTCTTAACTATAGAATGATATTTTTCTGTGTATATATATGTACATATAAAAGATGTATGTACATTATATATTTTTA